GCAGTGCAGATCTCCACTTGAATGTGAAGAAAGTTGTTCCAGATGTATTTGAAATACATATCCTGTAAAAATATATTTATTGTAAACACAAATTTTAAAACTTTTGCATAAATACTATGAATATGAATTTAACTCACTAGAATAACTCCCAGTGTGTTGAGGTTGATAAGTTCTGTGTTAATGCTGTGTGTGTTGGTCTGTAACAGACTAGCGACTAGTCTGACTACATTTAACCTGGTGTTGCCAACAGGAGGGTCCAACACTCCCCATGTAGTCTTCATCACATTTTTCTGTTAGAAAAGAATAAAAAAGAGCCAAGTTATAAAAGTACAAAAAGGATATAAAGCATATATTACAATGTGTTTACCTTTGGAGGTTCTAAAAGCAGTTGATGAAAGTCTTTCAGTCTTGGTCTCACCGCCTCCAGGATGCTCTGATTTACTGAGAATGAAGAGTGAGACATACCAGGGAGGCACTCCATATGACCCTCAAACCTACATAAAAATTTGGAATATTAGTTAGCATTACTCCAAGAAAAAACATAAATTAGGAAAATATGGTCAAATTAAAAAATAACATACGCTGGTCTCCTCATCTCAAACAACGTGAGAAGGATCTGAATGACACTGACAATTGCCGATTCATTTTTTTCACAGTCAAAAATATTGGACAGCAGCTGTTCAACAGTTTCCTGCCTGTAGACAGAAAAGTATAAGATATTAAATTAAGCCACTGTCCTAAGGTATACTAATATGTATTGTGCTTTACATACTTCTCTATTGTAGAAAGCAGTGGGTCAGGTTCTGTGCAGCCCTGGACTTGAAACATCTGGTCTCTACTTAGTCTGATGATCTCACAAAGGGACTGGGAGGCATTGGAGTGTCTCTGTTCATAGAAGAAAGAATTAAAAGAATCAAGACAAACCCATAAAAAAGTTTAATATTTGAACATTTCACTGAAATGAATTCTACTGTAACTCACATCCTCATCTTGAGATGGTTGTACCACATTTATCAGTCTCTGAATTATCTTTTCCTCATTAAGCCACTGGTAACATAAGACAAATGTAATGTTAAAAACTGTATAATATAAACTTGTGTAAATATTTAATAACAAAACATAAATGCACAGGAGTAAAACATACAGTAATATTGAGGGGTGAAAGAGGCCACATCTACTGCGTCTTCTGGAGGATGTGACACAATTAAGGTACTGTGCTTAAAGCTATTGCAATAATGCAATTTAGCTCCAAAGGTCACTTAGCTTTGGTTGTATGGTTATGTACACAATACATTTAGTACTGTACAATCTAGAGTCCATTACTTGTCCTATGAATGAACAGGGAAGCTTGTTTTATCAACAGTTAGACAATGTTCTGATGTACTTTCATCTATTCTTAACAATGCTCATTAACAATGGCCCTTATTGTATGTCTAATTGGCAGAAACTTGTAAGACACTGAATAGGGTCACAAGATTCATTGCAATAAATCAGACTCACAAGTTAAAAGCAGATGCAATTAGCAAATGCAGTTTTTGTGAATTATAATTACCTCCACAACACAATATTCTTTCTTACTCTGCATAAAGTAGTAGTTTTGATCTGTACAAACTAAATTCTTACATTCGTTTGTCACTTCATATTTCAGTTTTGGTAATTCTTCTGGACATATTTAATGTGATCTTTGAGGAGAATCCTATTCAGAAAATAAATTGCAAATCTAATTGCAATGCTTTCCCAAATCTTTCATCCCCAATATTTAACATGATAACAGCCACATACACTGAGGACGTCCTGGCGTAGTTGTTGTGGTTCAATGCAGGTAAGCATTCTGAGCAGCAAGTCCATGATGGCGGATGTTCCAATGTGCCGGATCATCAAGTCAACAAAATCCTCACGTTTTCTTAAAAAATCTACTATCTGTAAGAGAACAAAGAAATGTTAATACTAAATTTGGCTTGTACACAATATAAAAAGGTCTTTAAGTGACAGGCTCACCTGTTCAGGTTTGCGGCCTATAAGAATAGAAAGGACCTTGGAGAAGAAACTAGCCAGAAGTGGGTTCAGTGGTGGTTCATTTTGAAGGAAGCCATACAGTTTCATCAAGAGTTTCTCATCTTCTCCAAGACGATCATTAATTTGACCAACATCTGACGTAAGCAGCTCGCATGAAATATTAGGGTATCTAAAGACAAAGTGTTGCAGACATTTCACCTTCTACAAAAAAGTAATTCCACTCATATTTACTTCTAATAAAAAGGTTACAATATATGTTTTACAGTATTTATTAGCATTAAAACAGTATCATACTTGTATTTAACTTTCTCCTCAACATCGGTGTTTGGCTCTTGTGTGATGAATGTCACCAAGTCTTCCATACATTGAGGTCGCAACAAAAAGTCCACCAGTTTATGGTTCTGGGCTTTACACTCCTGCAGCACATCATCCTCATCCATTATCTCTGTCAACGTCACATCTTCCTTCTCCAAAAGGGTGTCAATGTGGGACGTGGTGTGGAGGTCAAATTTCCAAAACATGTTGACTAGAAAAGACGACAATACTTAAGAGACAAAAATAACGAGTTAAGAAGTTAAACCTGTTATTAGCAGCCACATACCTGTAAGATTTCTACTCCAGATGCTGGAGCTTAGGTTAAAAACAAGTGTATTCTACTCTCTGTAGGATTTGGCCCATTCCAGACTTGCTGGATTTACAGACAAGCAGACTGAGTGGACCCCACACAATGGCACACCTGTAGAAGAGCAAGAAGGTAAATATTATTGGACTACTATTCCATTTGTCTTTAAATGGGTGATAAACAGCTAAAGATCGAAAAAGGGATTTATACATTTGCATTTCGAGTTAAAATGTCAATAAGTTGACATAATTACAGAAAAGATACAGACTAATGTCATGCTACAAAGAATGTTGGTAAACAAAACCTTGCCTCTCAGCCCACCCCTTTTCAGACAGGTAAATCCAAATCTATGAGAACAGTGATGTGAGACGCTAGTCATTTGTAAGAGGAGAATTAAAGAATTATTAATAGAAAACCCAATTTAGGATTATCCATTAGTAGAGTTTGTGAAGCACTTCGTCCAACCCTATTAATGTCCCAATTAATCAATTATAGACCCGGCCATTACTAATCAAATACAGTGACCATGCACAGTTGTGTAAGATAACAACCACCGAAGAAAATAAACCAGGGACCAACAGTAGATACCACAACTACTAATGCAATCTTCTAGGTTATTTTATAACTTTACTGTAGAAGTTTATGTGATCAATGTCCTATCCCTGTGATGTTACAAGCCTGGGCCCACTCCAATGTAACGCTTCTGTTGATGGATAAGAAAACACGCCGTGCAAACTGGCATAATGGTTATGCTGGTGCAACGTGAAAGTAAATAAAACTACTGAAAACAGCGAATAAACAGGCTTTGACGCGAAGTTGCGTCACGTTGACCGGTAGCCGTAAGCTTCGATGCTAACACCTTAGTTTTACTCATATTAGATGTGTTTTACTCCAGTTTCAGCCCGAATAAACGCAATAAACACACAAATGTAGAGATTCAGGTATATACCGAGAGTCTGATGACTGAGTGTCAATCCAGCCAACTGTATGCCTCTCGTTAGCAAACTGCTATTAGCCGGCTATCTGGCTAAAGACTGCTGGGTAATCGTTTCTACAGCACCAAGTCCATATGCTGACAAGTGTATCTTCTTACCGGCATACAAAGGCAAAAGGCAGGTATCCGGGGCCTATCCTATCTTGCCATTTGTCCTAAGACTTCACCAAGCATTGGGAATAACGTACAACTAACACCGAAAAAAATAAAGCATTAAAAAACTGATTCTAACAGGCGCGAAAAAAGGTAGCTCGGCAGAGGGCACTTTTCAAGATGGCGGTTCCGTCAACTTAAGCGGCCCTTCCCCCACCACAGCTGCAGCGACTGTCCGTCAAACACTTCCAGCGCTGTGATTGGTCTATAGTGCCATCAATCAAGACAGATCTGTGTCGTGATTGGTCAAGTGAGATCCTGTTTCAAAGCTGTACACTGAGGATGTTATTATTCAGTGGCCCGGAAGAGCGGAGTTTACAGTTAAAGATGAACCAGTTTCACCGAAATCGCTTTACGAAATTATCTTTATTTCGTCTTTTTAATATCATTGTAAAGCAGATGTTTGTGAATTTTACTGGTCACTTAAGTTGCTTGTGTAATCACTGATTGCACCCTCTGTCCCTGAAACAGAAACGCCCAATTTGCGGAAGCCACTGAAGCTACAGCATTTGACAGCACCACAGCACAGAACACAGTGCACTTTGCTACGTGCTGCTCCTACAGCCTGACAGTTATCCATGCTAAACATTCACTGTTTGATTTGAACAGATAGTTTATCTTTATTTTGTTTCAATCTGTTTGCATCTACACAACGACATATTACATAATAATATGGGGATAGCTTGCAGGCAGTGATGAATTCAGTTATTATTCGTTAGTTATATATTAGTTATTTTCAATTAGTTGTACATGACAAGAATATAAATAATAGCATACAGCATAGTAATTTTTCTTACATAAATTGGCTGAAATTCTACCTATATTACAGATTCTGGCCTAGACTATACATCCAAGATCTTACAAAGTAGTTCTCTAAAAGAGGGAAGTCTTGCTTACAATTTTTAAAAGTTGCTGTTAACCTGAAACTTGCCTCTGCATTCTTGTAAAACCATACATTTTAGGGATTTTTTAGACATAGGCCTACATCTGCAAATTTATTATGTAATTCAAGTCTTATTCTTTTAACCTGCATAATACTTCATACCATTATACATTTCCAATCTAATCACGATAGCCGGTGCGTTTCAGCAGCAAAGATGATAGTTGTAAAGTTTCCCATGTTACTTGAACACATCGTAGTTTTTGCGTCTTCCTAATCCTTTGATAATCGCTCCTCGCCGGTGGCTGCTGCTGAGGGGAGATCATGATGTCACAGGTAAACAAGCCCAGAGAGTGGTTTTGCATCAAGTCAGTGTGCTAAAAAAACTAGCTGAGATACTGCCTGACTCGTGAGGAGGTGCGTAATATTTGGAAATCAAAATGGATCTAAAAGGCGTTATTGAGCAGCTGGAGACAGGAGACCAAGATTGTGCTCTATCCGCTCTACAAAGCTTCAACTCACAGGTAAGCATCTTCCACCAAGACACCGCTCAAAGCAGGCTATCATAAGCACCACACTGCTTGAAATACAGGCTATAAGGCCATTAGCTATTATCAAATGGAGATGCAGAGATTGATATGCTAATATTGTGAGGGAAAGAGTGACCTAAACTAGATTTAGCAATGAAAGTCAATGTGGAATATCCTAGATGCACATAAAAAGGCTATGTGCTATATATGAGGCTATGTTTTGAACCTTGCATCCATCTACAAAAATAAATCTAGCATAGCAGCCCCAGGGTTGGTCTTTGGTCCTTTAGTCTTAGACGCAATAGGATTAGATTCTGTGGTGCACAAATAGATGATCCTTTGGTCCACTCAAATACTGGTTACCAAGAGCTTGTGTAAAGAGACAATTTGCATGCTGTTATAGCCTACATAAGAAAGTTAAATGTTATAACTTACTTATGACATATCATGTCATGTCATATCAGAGAATCTATTTTGGAATGTTTAATCCCTTTTGTAGCTGATCTTTAATTAAGTTGCCATAACTCATGATGCTAAATCGGTCGTGCATCATCCAGTTTTTTGTTAATAACCTTTATGATTTGTTTAAACAGTAACACACACCTACTTGCATCCCACCCCTGCATCAATAACTCAGCAGGTGTTTCTCACATCACCCTTTACCTGTTCATGATAAGATAAGAAACAAATAATATGAGAATAGCCAGGTTTTATGTTTGTTTTTGTGTTTTACCTACAGATGTCCCATTGCTTTACATTTGAAAATGAAGACGGACAGGAAAGAGAGGTATGGTATTTGAAAAGTTATGCCATCTTCTACTATGACCCCAGTCAGATAGAAAAGGAAAAAAAAAAAAAAAAAAACGCCCCTTCTTGTACTAATTAATTGTTATGTGTTATGTTTCCAGCTTCTAGGTGAGTTAGTTCTGGGCTTTTTGAATGGGGACTTGCAGCCTTCATGTCAGGTGGCCTGTCTGGAGACCATTCGAATCCTGTCGCGGGACAAGAAGTGCCTCGGTCCTTTTATCACCTGCTCTGCCATGTCAACACTGGCCCGGTATGCAGGGATTGGTGTAGGCTGTACCAGCATTGAAGACCACGGAGAGCAGGGAACAGAACAAGGTAATTTAATATACTTAAAGGGACCATATTACACTAAACTGACTCTTGTGAGCTTGTAGCCATGTTATAATGTTGTTAGCTCATCAAAAACATACCTGGAGTTGTGTTTTTTTTTTTTTTTATCTTTATT